GGAGGAGGGGGAGGTGGAGGAGGAGGAGGAGGAAACCCGTTCCACATCGTGGCCATCCCCAAATCCTGTCGTCTGATCCTGCTCTCAAGTAGGCCCACTTCTCTCAGTCGTCTGTGGCCATAGACCTAATCCACCCGGATCAACTGAGCTGCCTCTTGTCCACTGCCCTGCCTCCAGTCACAGCCGGCTCCCAGACTAGAAGGGAGCAGGTAGGTGCCTAGCGTGCCAAAGGTCAGGGGGCACTCAGTCTCACGGTGATGCAAGTATAGAGTTGGCTCCTGAGAGTGGCTGCCTCCCCACGTTTCGTTTGCCACACCCGAGTTGCCCTGGTGTGCCCACGCTTCATCCTTCACGGCAGCCACGCGAAGTCTTCTAAAGCATCGGTCACTCCCAGTCACCCTCACAGGGCCTGCCCTCGAATTTACTTCAACAAACATCTGATGACAGACCCTGGTTCTCTAGAAGGAGAGGAACCACAGGTCCTACCCTGATGAGCCCCTGTCTGCCCAGACAAAATCCGGACTATTGAGTATGACCTTTGTGCTTCTTCGCAGTGTGGCCGCCTGGGCTGGTCCAGCCTCAGGGCCTGGGGCAGCCACACAAAGCCATACTGCAAGCAGGATCTGTCCTGCACTTCTGGGCCTCCAAGCTTTTCCTTGGGCTGTTCCGGCATCCTGGAATGCCCTCTCCCATGGCTGGCCTATTAAACTGTGACTCATCCTTCAAGGCCCTCATGAATGCCACCTCCTCAGAGTAGCCGTCTGACCCTGCGGAGATCAACCGCTCCCATATCAATACCCCAGCCTCTCTGCCCCTTTGTCTAATACTCCAGGTATTACACACATCTGTCATTCTGCAATCAGCAGTGCACTTATTAAGCACCCACTGTTTGTGAGGAGTGTGCTGGGTGCAGGGGAGCTTGCTCTGTTAACATCTGCATTCTCTGCCCTTAGGAGAACAGCCAGATTAGTGGTGGGGACCACGGCCGCTCACCTCTAAGTCCCCCACAAGGCCAGCACAGGCAGAGGACTGAGCAACATTCCATGACTTTCAGATGCCCCTAAGTCTTCAGCTTTCTGGGGTTACTGTTCCACCACAAGCAAGGTACTACATGTGCCCTCCAGCCCCCGTGGAAAGCCGTCTCCAGGAAGGAAGAATGGCTTTTGTTTCCTGGGGTGCCCAGAGCTCCTTCTCCCAGCACAGGCTGGTCCATTTTGCCCCCCAGTATGGACCCAGGCCTCTCAAATACTTCCAGAGCAACATTTCATGTTGGATGTCTGACACACTCACTGTGGTTTGTCATGGGCCAAACTGGACAGCAGACTGTCATGCTTCCTCCTGGACCATCCAGGTGGGTGGGTCTCTGCTGACTCTTCACTCCTTCTACACGTCAGCTGGTTGGTCAGTCAACACACGTTTTCCTGAGGACACATGCATTCAGAGAAAGCACTGGAACCTCTCCCACATGACTGACGTTCTACCTAAATTGAGCTCCTTCGTGGACCTACCTTCTTTTAAAAGATTTTATTTATTTATTTTAGAGACAGAGAGTGTGTGCACAAGCGGGGTGAGGAGCAGAGGGAGGACAAGCAGATTCCACGCTAAGTGCGCAGAGCCCGACTGCAGGGCTCAGTCCACGATCGTGACGTGAGCTGAAATGAAGAGGTGGACACTAAACCAACTGAGTCACCCAGGCGCCCTGTGGACCTACCTTCTAAGAGAGGAAAGAGCACCTACCTGCTTTTAGCAGCCCCTTCCTCTTGTTCTGTGTCTGGCTGGCCCTTGTCACTGTACTCCCAGACTTTCTGCAGGGCTTAGAGGGCACACAGGCGAACAGGACAATGGCAGAGGGAGCAAAGGTCTCCTTGGAAGGACAGGACCAGACAGAAATGGCCCCCAGTGCTGCTCAGGGAAGCCACATCCCTCCATCCTTCCTCCCTTTGGGCCATCCAAGACTTTCTGTAGAAATTGTCTTGTTGCCAAGACCACCTCAGGGGAAGTGTGCACGCTGCTGAGACGGTCTGAATACATCATCCATCCATCCATCCATCCATTGCCCATCCACGCCACACTGGTTCACAGGGCACCTGCTGTGCTCAGCCAAGGCCGGATCCTGGGGCTGCAGCAGTGAACAAGAGAGGGCACCCACTGGGCCACACACATTGCCTCATCCCTGCTTTCCTTATATGAATATACCTGTAACTCAGCACTTGCTGTGTACAAACTACAAAGACACATTTCTGTTATCTTCTAGCTTGAGGCACACCTGTTTCTTAAATGTGACCTCGACTGGAGCCCAACACAGACACTCTGAAAACCAGGTCCTCTCCACATCCAATTTTATTGGCAAGGATGAGGGTTTGGCTCCCTGCCTCAAAAATTCTATTTGGACTAGGCAGGGGGAAAGAGAAGGAGGGAGACAATAACCTATTGGTCTGGGGCTTCACTAAACTGCTATCATGGTCGCCGGTCCCCTTAGGGGCACCCCCTCTCTGTCCTAAGCCTTATTCCTAGGGCAGCCCCTGGAGTTGGGATTCCCAGGATGAGTCACCAGGTCACCAGGGGCTGTGCTCAGAGCACAAGCTCGACTCTTGCAGCATTTGGAGTTTCCCTGGCTCTCTCCCAGGACAGCCACCCTGATCCTTAGCCTGGGCCAGGAGAAGTGAGTGATGGCCTGGACAAGGGATGCTAGAGGGTCTATCTGTCCGTCCCGCCACTGGTTGGCTGGCTGCTTCCAAGTGGCCCCGTGCCACCTGCCCCACCCCCAGCTCTTTTGGACTGAGAGAGCTCCACTTGTTTGTCTTTCCAAGAGTCATGGTCTTCAGGCTATCGGAAAGGAGACCGCCGTCACAGACTTGGGGTCTCAAGAGCAAGAATTTAGGTGACCCTGCCCACCCAGACTCCAGGCATTGCTTTGGTCTGAAGAGGCCAGGGAGGGTCCAGGTCCAGGACTCCGTCTCACCATTCCAAACTCCCATCCTTCCTGGCTCAGATCCAGGCCCAACCCACAATCATCCCTGGCCTGAGTTGCAAGCCCTGGGGAGGGAAGGAAGTGGCCGACCCCCACAGCCCGCATTCCTCTGTGATGACTATAGTTGTCTGCTCACTGCCCAACCACTCCATCTGGAGGGCAGTTCTCAGGGAGCTCCAGGGGACTCCCCCACAAAGAGGCTTAGGCCTCTCCTACAGAGCAGGGGTCTTCATTAGCTGGGGACATCAGGACCTGAATGGGGTAGGGAGCCAGGAGAGCAGGGTCCAGAGGTTTCCTGGAAGCAGGTCAGAGGGCCACAAGGCCCGCCCTAGATGCTTCTCACTCCATTTCTTCACTCATTCAATAAACACCAAGACCCTCCTTGCGGTTAACCCTGTTCTAGGCCCTAGGCAGGGCAGGGCTGCACCCTCCAGGGGCTCCAAGTCATATAGGAGGAATCCTCCAATAAATAAATTAAGTACATAGAGAGGATGATTTCAGCGATGATAAGAGCTATGAAGACAATAAAACGAGAGGCGACATACACTGAGCGGTACAACTGGGGAGCTCAGCCATTTGAGGGGCCTCCGGATTCCTCAGACTCCACCTGCCCGTGCACAGCCCCCTCACACACTCCCACACCAACCCCCTCTGGGTGGGGGCTGGGGCAGGTGCATTCAGGTGGGGCTTTTCCGGGGCCGGTTTTCCCCAGCTCCTCTTGGAACTTCCAGAGGGCAAATGGCCCGCGACACTGGACGGTCGCCCGTCCCCCGCTGCAGCACGAACCTCAGCGCTCCCGGCGCGGTTCCCGGAAACTCCTCGCTTTCCCTGTGGCCGCCGCGTTTGCAAGAAACCGAAACCCAGGCCCCGCCCCTCGGCGCGGCCCCGCAGTAGCCCGCGTGGGGGCTGGGGCGCGCGCGGGTGGGCCGATCCCGGCTGGGCGGCCGGGCCCGCCCCTCCCCCACCTGCGGACCCCGGCTGGCGGCGGCCGCCCAGCGGCTCAGCACCCGCACGCCTCCCACGGGAGAATTTCGAGTCCAGCGCGAGTCGCCGGGGCTGCGGCGGACTGCCGCGTGCCCCGGGGCGGGGAGGTGGGGGGGGGTCGCAACGCGGCCTTCCCGGGCAGCAGGCTAGAGGTGCCCGCCACCCGGGGCGGGGGGCGAGAAGGAAGGGCAGGGGCATTTACAAAGAGCTCTGCACCCCGAGTGTTGCTAGCTTCGTCACGCGGAAGGGGGGGCGGTGATAACGGCCAGAGAAGAGTTCAGCAGCTTGCCCGAGCTCACACAGCCCCGCGCCGCGGAGCTGGCTGAAAACGCGTAGCCCGCAGCGGGAGGCCGGCAGGGGGAGGAGAAGGAAGTGCCCTGGGCTGCGGGCAGGTGAGCGGCCCGGCACGGGCAGGGCAGCCAGCTGGGGGGGGGGGGGGGGGGGGGGCCCAGGCAGCCCCCCGGGGGGCGCGGGGGGGGGGGGGGGGGGGTGGGGCGGTCCCAGGCAGCCACCCGGGCGGCACGGCTGGGAGGCTTTGCTTTTCTCCGCCCTCCCTCCCTTTCCAGGAAGCGGCCGCTTACCCGGACTCACCCCCAGCCGGGGCCGAGCAGGAATGTGGAAGTTAGCCTGAAAGGCTTGTGCCCCCTCCCCTACACACACACACACACACACACACACACACACACACACTCAGAACAGGTTGGGGCAGCGCGAGCGTGGGTCACCTGGAGGCGAGGGACTCCAGATCAGGACTCGGGTTCCCCAGGGCGAAGTAGGGGTGCTGCTGCCCCCAGGAAAGCCTAGAATTCTGCCAGGGACGCTCTGGGCGAACGATAGTGGGCGCAGGCGGTACTGCAGGACCCATTCGCGTGGGGGGCGGGGAGGATGCTGCTTCCATGCAGAGTCACTGTGGGACGTGGCCGCCAGGCCTGGCCCCAGAGCACCCTCCGCCCCCGGCCCCTGGCCGCACAGGGCGGATGGAGAGCTGAGGCCTCTTTCCTTCCAACCCAGTGTTTATAAGAAATGAAACTGCACAGGGCATCAGCGGCAGCCCACACTGACACCTGCTCCCCCTGCGAGGTTCCGGAACAGTCCACAGCGCTGGAGCGATTCCTGGCCCACTCTTCCACCTCAGGACCCCCTAGCTGCAGTCAGCTGCAGCCTCCCACTCTGTGTTTAGGATTTTTGTAAGAGCACAACGCTTATTCTGCTGTGTCATACAGCATTTTTGCCAGAGTTGTGAGAGGGGAGGGGCTAGTCTTGAGCCAAACCCGGAACTGACCCCGAGCAGGAGTGCGATTCGTATTTGTTGAATGAATTAAGAAATGACTTTCAGGCAGAGTGATGACGGCTGGATTCTTCAAGCTTTTGGATGCTTTCTGATGATTTTATGCCTGACTTGTGCTCGGCACTTCACAGTTTAGGACTGCCTGCCTCCAGGTTTAGAGATGGTGGTTGGAAGGGCTTTTGAACATCTCCCAGAAAGCCCTCCCTTCCCACCTGGAAGGCTAGAAGGCATGCTGTGGGTTCCTCTGCTTTGGGGACCATGGCTTTCTCTCTGGGTAGCCTGCCCCATAGGGACCCAGGGCTCCCCTACTCTAAGAAACCTGGTGAAAGCATGGCTGAGTTCTGCACTTCAGAACTAACTGGAGCCCCACCTCCCCAGAGGGTGAACGTTGTGTTCTCAGAGCCTAAGGGAGGGAGCTACAGGCTGGATTGCTCCTCAGGGAAGAGGCTCCTATAGAGGTGACCCTGCCCCCTGCATCCCTATTATAGAAATCACTTCAAAGGAGGCTCTGCCAGCCTAGAAAACTCCAGGGCCTAATACAGAGAAAATTACCCTTACTAAGTAATGGTATAGATGGGAGGTGTGCTGTGAGACCAGAGCTAACCTCAGCTAACTCCACCTGCGGGTGTGAGGAACCTACTCAGGTAGGTCTCTTGCAGAAAAATGCAGACTTTGTTCTCTAGAAGGTCACCACCCAGGTGATAAGTGCAGAAAAGGCAGCATGAAAGTTAAGTGCCAGGGGTTTCTGAGGAAGGGAAGGAATTTGGTTTGGCAGCTTTGGGGGTACTTCCTAGAGGACCAGGCATTTCCTCTGGGCCTTAGAATGGAGACTGACACTGAAGTGTGTCGGGTGGGAAGAGGAAGGGGGAGAATGGGATTGAGGGGGGGGTGAGTGTTGCCAAACACCAGAGGAAGATAGGGATGAGGAGCAAATGGAAGGAGCAAAGACATGAAGGGAAAAACTGTGTTCAGAGAACAGAAATGTAGTGAGAGGTTTATGCACTACTGTTGTTGTTTTTTTTTTAAGATTTTATTTATTTATTTGACAGAGACACAGCGAGAGAGGGAACACAAGCAGGGGGAGTGGGAGAGGGAGAAGCAGGCTTCCCGCGGAGCAGGGAGCCCGATGCGGGGCTCGATCCCAGGACCCCGGGATCACGACCTGAGCCGAAGGCAGACGCTTAATGCCTGAGCCACCCTGTACTACTGTTAATACATGTCATTTTGCTCATGTTTTACCATTTAGAAAGTCTGATAGTCTAATTTCATCTTCATAATAATTAGGAGAGATGGGCAGACTGTCTCTTTTTTACAGAGAACACAGAGGCCCAGAGAGGGATGGTAACTTGCCTAGGGCCACATAGCAAGTGGCAAAAACACACGAACCCATGCTTTCAGACCCAAATCCTGTATTCTTTCCCCTGCCCTCTAGTTCCTGCCAAGGGTAAGGGAGGTGGGGGAGATCAGGTTGCAATAGGACCCCTGGAATAAGATTGAGCAGCGACTTGAATGTGGGGCTTAAGGAATCTGGGGAAACTCAGAAGCCCCTGGTGGACCTGAATGTTTAGGGGATCAACAGAGTTAGGCAGATCATCCCAGTGCAGAGGTGCCTAGAGGGACCAGCCTGCCAGGGATGGGGGGAGGCCGGAGGGTAGGCTGTGGCAGTAACAGTCTGGTTCTGGTATGTGAAAACATGAGGATGCAGGGAAGACCTGGAGGACCAGGTGAGGCAAAGATAGGAGGATAGGAAAGACTTCAGCTGGGAAGGAGCTGGAATTAGGATGAGAGAAGGCTGGTGGGGGCCGTGTAGAAAGGGGAGGCCAAGAGTTCTGCTTGTGTCTATGTTGAATCTGTGGATAGGGTTGTAGTGGAGGGTCCAGGAGGCCACCAGAGCTTGTGTTTGGAGGCTACTTGTCCCCAGGGGATGGCTGGAATGACAGAAGATGAGTATTTTGAGTCAGAGAGGACTAGAGGGCTGGCCCTGAATTACTAAGAAAAACCTAGGGGAGGCTCTGTTTTGCTTAGCATCATAGGGAATGTGTGATACATTTTAAAATGGATTCAAGAGCTATTACAACAAAAATTTGAAGTACTTAACCAGGGCATAGTTTTATTTCACTGACTGGTAGTGTAGCACCCCCAATCATGATAAGCAGATTCTTACAGGCTTCAAGATAAAATAAGAATCCCTAGACTTAAAAAAAAAAAAAAAAAGTCAAACACCCCTTCAAAGGTCTAAATGGCAATTTCATCAGTAAATTCTAACATTGGGGAATTTCTCCTAAGCAAAAAAATTGATATGGGTAAGATTTAGCTACACAGTGTTGTCTGTATTAGGAAAATATGGAAATAACCTAAATGTCCTACAATAGGAGATTAATTGGTAAGTTTTTATTTATCCTTATTAGAGAATAATATATACCATTATCAATTATATTGTACAAGTACACTTCATGACATGGAAAGATATACAGATACAGATGATTATCTGTGAATTAAAATAAAGTTCTTGTTTTAAGGCACTTTTTACAGGCTCCTACTATTGCCTTTAAAGGGTCATTTTGGTCAATTTCTGAGACCGCATGAGATGCAACCTTCCTTTCCCTGATCTCATTTTGAATTTTCCAGTGGCTATTGAGACAGGACCAGCATCCATTTGCTGCACAGAGAACAGACTTCATAACTCAGGAGCCACTTGCTTTCTGCTCTTCTCGCTCCGAAGGTCTTGATTTCCGTAGTGGGTTCCCACTCCATCTGCCATTTAAAGCACCCCAACCCTTCTCCCCCTTCCTGGGCTTCAGCACCTTCCATTTTTCTTAACAGCCAGCGAGGCTCCTTCCTTGCAGTTCCTCCTGCCTCTTTGCCTCTCTAAGCAAGTGCACCCACCACTCTCTGGCAGACAGCTCTGACCCATTCTTGTAGGTCTCTTGGGAACCAAGCTTCGCGTTAGTCCCAGCATCAGATTCTGGTGCACCAGAATTGGATTAACCCATCCATTTCCTCCGTGGGAGGGAGGCAGTGGAGTGACTGACAGGTGGAATGCTGCATCAGTGTGTCTATTTATAGCCTGCACCATTGCAACTGGGTGCTGAGGCTGTGAAGGGAGAGCTGGGTTGAGGGGAATAACACGACCAGCCCCGCCTGGAGGAGCAATTTACTTCTGAGTCAGCAGCTTTGGGGAAGGTGAAGGAAGGAACCTGCTGGGCCAGAGTTCTGAATGGAAAATGAACACTCAGGCCGGTCTCTAGGAGCACAAGTGGGGCAAGGTCTACGTTAAAGCACAGGGGGTTAAGTAGCTGCCCTTCCCAAGAGACCGGGACCTGGGTTCCACAACTCTTTGGCCACATCCATGGCCTTGGCCATCCCTAAGCAACCTCCCCCTTGCTGCCCAGAACCTCTCTGGGCCCAGCGCTGAGGACCCCAGGCAACACCAACGCTGCTACTAAGGCGCTCCCAGGCAAGGGCCCTGTGAGGCTGTGGAGGTGGCCTAAGGCAGGAGTGCTAGGAGGAACAAGGCTACCCAAGTCCTACCCCAACTCAGCAGTCGGGGCTTCTCTGAAATCCTCTCTTTCCCTAAGATCAGCTGTATGGCAATCCCAAAGGATGTAGAGCCAGAAGAGGGGGAAGTGCTTCTCGGTCATTGTTAGGCTCTGGGCAGGGACCTCGAAAACCGCGCAGCATCTCTGTCCCCAGGTGCGGCACGGTGCTTTACGGACATCATTTCTCTGTCGCTGTAAACCAGCAAGATAGGGCTTCTTATTTTATAGCTGAGGAGACTGAGGTTCCCAGTCCCATGTCAGGTGCACCAACAGAGGCCAGACCGGGATTTCCTCTCCTCCGGCAGCCCCAGGCGGCACCCCAGGCACAGTAGGCTTTCCCTTGCCTTCCCCAAGGCAGGTGAGTGCCCAGAGGTAGATCACCCCTCAACAAGGCGGGGGCGGGGAGTATGAGGGCCCAGACCCTTCCTTTTCGGCACTCCATTAGCAGGCTTGAGGAACCAGGCTAGTTTACGGAGAATCAATCCCGGTATGTTCACTCTGAAGCGGACGGCAGGTGCCCGGGCGACCTCCTCACCTGCGCTCAGAAGACACGCATCCCCGGAGAGGAGGGTGAGAAGATGGCCACAGGACCGAGCAGGCTGGGAGAATGCGGAGTGAGGGGAGTAACTGCGGGCCGGGGGCGTTCGGCTTTCCAGGACAGCTTTCTCCCAGGCTAGCTGGTGCGGGGGTGGAGTGGGAGCGGACGGGGCGGGCCCGCGGTCGCCCCAGGGCGGCGGCGCCGGGCCGGAGGGGGTGGGGAGGAGCAGCCGCCCTGTACTTCCCCTTCGCCGCTAGCTCTACAACAGCCTGATTTCCCCGAAATGATGGGGCGGCACCGACCAATAGGCGCCCTCGCGGCTCTTTAGGAGGCGGGGCCGGGCCTGGGTTGGGGGAATCCCGCTAAGTGTTTAGATTTCTCGCCGGCGCCGCTGCCCCGGCAGAGCGCGCCACTCCTTCGTCGAGGCAGGACGTGCGCCCAAGCCGGGCCGAGCAGAGGCCAGCGGGAGCCGTGCCAAGCCAAGGCCAGCCGTGCCCAACGGCCCCTCGACCCGGGCATCCTCTGCCTTCCCGCCGCTGCCTCCCGGAATTGCGCTCCCAGCGCCGACACCGCTGCCCCAGCCGCGCCGGGACGTTCGGGCGCCGCCGCTGCATCGCGCCCGCTGCGGAGGTGAGCCCGCCTTCGCCGCGGGGGGGACCGGTGGCGTCGAACAAAGGCGCGCGGGGCACCAGGAAGTGGGGGCCGACTCACCCCAGCGGGGAGAGTCGCGGGCGCGCGGCGTTGCCTGGGCCCCCGCGCGGGCTCGGGAGGGCGCTGGAGGAGCGGCAGCGCGGGGAGGGCGGGCCGCGCGGCGTGGACCGCCCACGAGCCGAGGTTGCCGGCGCCCGGCCGCTGTCGCAGATCTCTGTGCGCGGAGCCACCCGGGCCTCTGGGTGGCTCGGTGGGTTTGTCGCGCGCATCCGTGAGCGGTGCCGGGGACTCGAGTGTACGTCCGCGCGTGGGCGCCCCGTGCTCCCCGCGAGGGCTTTCGGCGATCCCAGCTCCGCGCCCAGGCCTTAGGTTTCAGGCTGTATGCGCAGGTGTTGGGGGGCTGGGACTTGCTGCCGGGGATGGCTGGCGGACCTGCCGGGGCTACGGGAAGAGGCGCCACAGGTGTTCCTTCGGCTACTTCGCGGAGGAGGGGAGCCAGGCCGGGAGGGGTACCTTGTCTGGGAGCGGCGTAGAATAGATGGGGGGTGGGGGGTGACGGGTACAGTGCAGGGTGACTGCTTGCTACCGGGGAAGGTGCACAGCTCGTGGTAGTGGCAGCAACTCAAGTACGGGAATTTATTGGCATCAACCAAAAGAAGCCTCTCCCTTCCCAAAAGATTTGAATTTGGGGAGGAAAGTTCTGGTATTAAGATATCTGTGTATTTTATCTGTTTTTCCTGCACATAAATCCTGAAACTATCACTTGCATGCCTGTTTCCTCCCAAGAGTGTTTAGAGGAGTGTGGGGGAAGGGGCTTAAGTGTTTTTGCCCGAGATGATGAAAATATTTGGAGGGCAGTTTTGTAACAGTAAAAGCCCCTTCCCCCATGATTGTAGTACTTGGTACCTGGTGGAAGGCAGAGGAAAGTAACTGAATGACCTTGGCAGGGGGAGGGGAGGGGGGGGTGGTGGGGGGTGGCCAGGGGTGGCCAGCAGGTAGTGCCTAAGGGGCTGCCCTACAGACTCCAAACAGGAGCCTCTGTTTTCTCTTTACAGCCAACATGCCCATCACTCGGATGCGCATGAGACCCTGGCTAGAGATGCAGATTAATTCCAACCAAATCCCAGGGCTGATCTGGATCAATAAAGTGAGTGTAACCTTATGGGTTTTTCTGCCACGATTTTAACACATGTTCTTTGGGGGACCAAAGCTTCAGATGCAGCTCAGAAAGGGAAGTGATGGGGAGGAGGCAGATGGGTTTCCCAGTGGGTCCTGCATGCAGGGAGTATGCAGGGCCCAACCTTGGACCACACTTGGCCAACTTCTGCCTGCCTTCTTCCACATGGACAGGGCACTCTCCTGAGGGCACTGACCGTTTCTAGCAGCAGAACCCTCCGAGCATCTGCAGAGCCAGGGTTCTGATCTCTTCTGAGGGAGACCCATCCAAACACACAGCATCCTACAGGGTTCCAGTCAGACAGGAGACAGGGGAACTGGGCACTACCGGCAAGAAGAATGGCTGGTTCAGCAAGGGACCCAAGAATTCACCTCGCACTGTTGGCCCAGGCCCAGGAAACCTCCTGCTGGTGCACCAAGGGCAGCACAGACCCTGCAGACTTGGAAGTCATAATAATAGCCGTAACGATAGCTCATGCTTGCTGTACACTCCCTACGAGCGAGGGTGACGCTGTGCTAAGCCTGTTACTTACACCGTGTCATTGAATGCTCACAGTAGCCCTGTGAAGTAGATCCTGTTAATATCTCCATTTTCTGATAAGGAAACAGGCACTGAGAGAGTGGCAGGGAGACCACACAAGAAGTGAGAAAGCCAAGACTTGAACCTGAACAGTCGGACTCAAAGATCCAGAGTGTTAACCGCCAATAATAATAACAGTGAGACTTGGTCTTTATATGTGTCACTGCGATTTCTTATTTCACAGAAACCAGTGAGGGACCAGGAGGTATAGTGACAGTGCAGGCGTCGCACAGGTAGTCAGCATCCAGGGCTGGCCCGGGGCTCCCTCAGGCATATGGCCAGGAGCCCCCGTGTAGGAGCCGGCGGCCCCAGGTGTCCTAAGCAGCCCCGTAGAATGGATGGAGTTCTTACCTGCTTGTTGGTGCTGAAAGCCAGAGAGCATCCCAGGGTGCCCTGTATGGGTCCCAGCACCTCTGTAACGGGCAGAGGGAGGTCTTTGCTGAGCTGATGTTGCCATAGCTCCTCAGAACCCGGAGCCCCTTCTGAGAGATCAAGAGCGATGTTGTAGTCTGTTTAAGCCATTCTTAGGATGGGTCAACCCAAGCCAGATGTCAGGGTGAAAAGGGGAAGTCAGCCTTTTCCCAGACCTGGGGGGCTGGGCAGACTCATGCAAAAAGCCTGTGGCCTCTGAGCTGACACAGCCTTATGTGTGTGTGTGTGTGCCATCCAGGAGGAGATGATCTTCCAGATTCCATGGAAGCATGCTGCCAAGCATGGCTGGGACATCAACAAGGATGCCTGTCTGTTCCGAAGCTGGGCCATTCACACAGGTGTGTGCCCTGGTCTCTAGCCCTGGAGGGGCCAGGGAGGAGACAAGGGGAGTCACTTCTGTTAATACAGAGGTTCTTCATTGGGGTTTCTGAGTTCCCTGAGACTGTGTACAGAATTTGGGGGTGAGCAGGGAGCAAACTTGTATTTCTGGGGGAAAGGCCCATCATTTCAGCAAGTTCTTAAAGGAACTTGTGGAGTCAGTATCTTAGAAAGTATGATTTCAGGGAGTTGCTGGCTGGGTGAAAGCTCCCGCTGGCAAGAGCACTTGTGAGCCTGGATACTGAAAGAGACCCAGGCCTTTCATTGTCTTGATGTTCACCAAGGTCCTGGCCCAAGGCCCATCTGGTTAGCAGCCTCCTTTTATCCTTGAGGGTTGGGGCTCTTGGTCCATCTCAGATCAGTCAGCACACCTATCAGTAACTGTTCTTTGATGCCTACTCTTTGTCCACCTTTGTGTTTGGAAATATCAGATAAACCCTAGCCCCTACTTGCTCTCTGGCTACTGACAGCCCAAGCAGGGAGACTGGTCATGGTCTAGCACCAATGCAGCACTTTAGGACATATGGGCCCTCTAGTGCTTCTGGCTGGGCCCTTCAGAAAGGCCTGCTGGATGTGTCTTGAGCCAAGCCCGGGCATTTGAGAAGCCCCAGGGCCGGCAGAGGGTCACCCAGGAATGCCAGTGGTTTGGCCAGTGTGGGTCTCTGGCAGCACGAGAGCTCAGGGCTACTCTTGCCTTCCTCCTCCCAGGCCAGGGGGCAGCTGAGGATCCCCACCCGTGGCCCTGACAGTCGTCTTCCCTCTTTTGCCCACTAGGCCGATACAAAGCAGGGGAAAAGGAGCCAGATCCCAAGACATGGAAGGCCAACTTCCGCTGTGCCATGAACTCCCTGCCAGACATTGAGGAAGTGAAGGACCAGAGCAGGAACAAAGGCAGCTCAGCTGTGCGGGTGTACCGGATGCTCCCGCCCCTCACCAAGAACCAGAGGAAAGGTATCCAAGGGCTCTGGGTCCTTGGGAAACTCCGAGGGAGGGAGGGAAGGAGGGAGGAAGTAAGAAGGGCAGCTGGGGCTGGTGTGCCTGTCCCAAGACTGACAGTCTGTCTGCCTCACAGAGAGGAAGTCCAAGTCCAGCCGAGATGCTAAGAGCAAGGCCAAGAGGAAGGTGAGTGTGGTCCTGAGCTGCTAGTCTTTGGTCACCTGGGAGCCCGGGTGGGCAGGAGAAGAAGTGCCACAGCAAGTGTGGGCCTAAGCTCCTTTCTCCTGCTGCAGTCATGCGGTGACTCCAGTCCCGATACCTTCTCCGATGGACTCAGCAGCTCCACCCTGCCTGATGACCACAGCAGCTACACCGCACAGGGCTATCTAGGGCAGGAGCTGGAGGCTGAGCAGGACCTAACTCCAGGTGAGGTGGGCCGGGTCTGGCAGGAGAGCACACAGGTCACGGGGACGGCTCCTCCTCTTGGGTCTAGGAGGGGGGCCCTGTGCTTGCGGACGGTGGCCCGTTGGAGCAGGCAGCAGGGCCGGGGCGGCTGGGTGTCCTGCAAACCAAGAAAGCCCGCGGTTCTGACCTGTGGTTCCTGCTGTCCTTCAGCACTGTCCCCGTGTGCTGTTACTAGTACTCTCCCTGACTGGCGCATCCCAGTGGAAATTGTGCCCGATAGCACCAGTGACCTGTACAACTTCCAGGTGTCACCCATGCCCTCCACTTCGGAAGGTATGTGCTTTTGGGGCCTGGGAGGGGTTTCCTGAGGGAGCCAAGAGGCTCAGAGCTCCGCCGGGCGCTGATGGAGCTGACTGTGTTGTGCCGGAGAAAAGAGGTTAGGGGCCAGGGGCTGCACTTTGCTCTAAGACTGCTCGTTTTCCTGGCTCCTCTGCAAACGCAGGCTCCGGGGGTGAGGAAGGAAGCAGGGGGGTGGTGGGAAGAGGTGTGGCTCGAGGGTTCGGGAGGCCGAGTCACCAGCACCGTGTCCTGTTCTGGCCTCGCCGGGGCCAGCAGCTGTCTGCTGCGAGGCCGTGGGTGTGCACGCGTGAAGGGCCGGGGTGCCGGTGGTGCAGGAGCTGCAGGGCCGAGCCAACCTCTCTGCTCTCCCCCACCCACAGCCACGACGGATGAGGACGAAG